TCCCCCTCTAACCTCTCTACCCCCCCCCCCCCACAGGTCCCCGAGATGTCCGGTCCCACCTGGCTCCCCCCCAAGCGGGCAAGTTCTTCGGGGTCTCCCGGCGTCTCAGTCTCTGCTCCGGCGCTTTGCAAACCCCAGAAGAAACATGCCACGGGCCCTGCATCCCCCCGGTTGGCCCCCCAGGAACAGAACGGGGAAGGCATGAGTGGGACGGGCTACCAGCCAGAGGGCCCCGGTAAATACCTCCCCCTCCCCCCATGCCCGATGGGTCTGATCCAGGTGAGGGCAGTGGATGCCTGCCTGGGTTGCAAGGGAGCAAATCAGAGTAGAGGGGCTGGAAGCTCACACTCCTGGACTCTCTCCCCAGCTCAGGGAGGAGAGTGGGGGCTGATGGTTAGAGCAGGGGGACTGAGAGCCAGCACAGAGCAGGAGGGGTCTGACTCCTTTTTCCCTCTCTAGGCAGCCTCTCCCCCCATCATCAGGATCCCAGGGGGCTGGCCCCCCTGCTTTCTAGCTTTGGCCCCCTGGCTGGCTCCCAGCATCATCACCCATCTGTCTCTGGGGCCAAGGATGAGCGAGGCCTGGGGGCACCGTGGGGGGCTGCCCTGTCTGCTGCACGAGGATACCACATCCAGGTAGGAGGTGGAACAGGAGGGAGGATGGGCCAGAACATGGAGTCCTTGTAAAGGCAGGACTCAGGGTGAATTTCCTTATGTGCATGGCATTGGAAGGGCATCCCCCCAGCCCGGAGCACCCCTCAAAACCTCTCCTAGCCCTCAGGGATTTGAGGTAGTAGAGGAAGTGGGAGTAAAAGCTCTCCCATAGGGTGACAGCACAGTATCCTTGAAGGCTTAATTTTCCCATAATTAATCTGCCTTTGTCATAGGGGGCACAGGAGAAAGTGCCTTCCTGATCCTGCCCATCTCATGCCCTAGAGCATAATGCCCGATTTTTGTTAACTTGTGGAACTGCCTGCCACTAGGTCAGCAGCTGCACTCTGTGATTCCATCTTGCAAGTCTGGACTGTACCATACAGCCCCCCTATCTCTACACTCTAATCTGCTGTCTGTTTCCTTAGGGATCTGCCCTAGATCCAGGACCCCACCGCCCTTCCAGCATTGACGCCCAAATAGATTCACTCACCCATATGCTGGCAGATATGGAGAGCACCGGCCCCCAGCGCCAGGGAGAGAGGCAGGTAAACAGCCAGGAGGCTTTGGGGCGGTGGTTTCATTGGCACAGACTTTCCCACCAATGAAATGTCAGCCCTATGATCACTTCTTTCCAAGTACCTTCTTGCCCCTCTCCTTGCCATCATATGGCAACACCAGTGCCCAGCATCTCCAGAACCACTGGATCCAGACTCCACATGATGCCATTGGAAAGCAAAGACCCAGAACTTCCAGGTGGTATCAGCTACCCATTTCTCCTTCCCCCAGTTCTCCAGGTATTAGCCACTGGAAATTACTTTCCAACCTACATCCTGCGGTAAGGGAAATCAGGATGGTACACAGGAGTCACATTGGGCCTCTTTTAGTGCCTGATTTCTCCTGAACCATTGGGCATAGAGATGTCATGTGCTGCTGGAAAGCTAAAAATCCAAGCTTGCTAATGGAGTATGCCACAAGCTTTCAGCTTCGACGGTTTGTGCAATATTGATGGTTTTATGGGACCATTGTTGATGTAGCCAAAGTTGAGCGTTAACTTGCAGTCTTGGTGGGTTCCTTGGGGAATGATGGCTCTTTTGATGTGTTGAGGGTTGGGGTGGGGAGCATTTTGGGGTGAGGTGGATTTGTAGGCTAGGGAGTCATTAGATATCCCCCCAAGTACAGCAGGGATCCCCAAATCCTCACCTATCTGCTTCCAGATGTCTGTTTCATCTTCTCCTTTCGTCTCCAGAACTTCGACTCTGTCCCGTATCCATCAGCAACTGCCCCCCCACAACCTGGCGCCCACAAAATGCCCAGCCCTTACAAGCCAGGCTCCTTTGCCCCACCCTGTGCCTCCAAGAGCTCATCATATGGGCCGTTGCCCCAACCTGCCACCTCAATGGCTCCCTCCGGGCCAGCTCCCCCATATGGGGCTGGCTATCCATGGATGCTGCCTGGGCAGAAGCTGTATCCACAGCCTATGCCTGCATCCTACACCACGGCCTCCACATCAGCTGGGCCAGCCTTCAACATCCAGGTCAAAGTTCCCCAGCCAGTGTTAGGCTATGGTCAGCCGAGACGCCGGGCTGAGCAGGCTTATGCACCCCCATCACCCGGAGCTGGCCGTGGAGCCCAGTACGGCTCAGAGCCAGGTGGCAGGGGGGTGGAGGGCTGGTATCTGGAGCCTGGGGGCTATGGCAAGAGGCTGGGTGAGGGGGAATGCTATGAGGCAGGAGGGCTGGCGAAGCCAGGAGAGGCATCCGGGACTCAGTACCAAGCTGCTGTGGGGACTCCAGGAAAGGAAGAGATGGCGGTGTCAGCAAAGGTGCCCCCTGGTGACAGAGGAGGATACCAGCACCAGGTAATGTGAGAGTAAATGGGCCCCAGGGGCATGAGGGGCAGCCACACATGTAGGTCCTCTGGGACAGGAGTGGGGGGCTGGTGGGTTAGAGCAGGAGAGCCTGGGAGCCGGGATTCGTGGGTTCTGTCCTGCTAGGGATCATCCCAGCTCCTGTGGGGTGCTAGGGTGGGGGTGGGGAATCAGTGTATGCGAAGCCTCCAGCCAAGGTTTCCTCCTCTGTCCCAGACCCCCCTGAGACGCCCGGAGGAGGAGCTGGATAGACTGACCAGGAAGTTGGTGCATGACATGAACCACCCACCGGCAGGGGAGTACTTCGGTGAGCAAGCTGGGGGGGGGCCTCTGAGTTGGAGAGTTGTGGGGTGGGTCACTTGGGGAGGGAGGAGGCAAGGGAAGGAGGAGGCTGCTAGAGGAGCTGAGAGCCATGTGTGACCCTCCCCCCCCAGGTCGCTGTGCCCGCTGCGGGGAGAACGTGGTGGGGGATGGGACGGGCTGTGTGGCCATGGACCAAGTATTCCACGTGCACTGCTTCACCTGTGCCACCTGCCATGCCCGCCTGCGGGGCCAGCCCTTCTACGCCATAGAGCGGCGTGCCTACTGCGAGGCCTGCTACGTGGTGAGTGCCAGGCCAAGACACCTGGGTTATCTCCCCGGCTTTGGGAGGGGAGGGGGGTCTGGTTGGTTGAGTTGGGTGCGGGGGCTGAATCCTGCCCCAAGTCTGTTCTGTCCCTACTGGCCACACAGGGACAAGGATTCTCTGTGTTGGCACCTGGCTGGTCGGGCCCATTGCTTCCCTCACTTCCCAGGTGACGCTGGAGAAATGCTCCATGTGCTCCAAGCCCATCATGGACCGGATCCTGCGGGCCATGGGCAAAGCCTATCACCCCCAGTGCTTCACCTGTGTCGTCTGCCACCACTGCCTGGACGGCGTGCCCTTCACCGTGGATGCCACCAGCCAGGTGCACTGCATCGAGGACTTCCATCGGTATGGCCCCTAGCCCCTGCTCCACCGGCACCCTCACCCACTCCCCACAGCCCTGCTGGTGCCCCTCATTTCTGACTCGCAGCCCCTCACTCCCTCCCCATAGCTGCTTCCCCCCCAGCCTTGCTAGTGCCCTTCACTCCTGAAGCCCCTACCAGTCTAACCCTGGGCTCCCCTGTTCTCTGCCACTCTGTGCACTGTAGGAAGTTCGCCCCCCGCTGCTCTGTGTGTGGAAATGCCATCATGCCGGAGCCTGGGCAGGAGGAGACGGTCAGGATCGTCGCTCTAGATCGCAGCTTCCACATTGGGTGCTACAAGTGTGAGGTGGGGGCTGAACTCAGATGCCTGGGTTCTCTCTCTAGCTCTGGGATGGGGATCGGGGGAATGGGGGGAAATGTGGGAGCCAGGACGCTTGGGTTCTAATGGACTCTCTTCCCCAGGAGTGCGGACTGCTGCTGTCATCAGAGGGCGAGGGCCGAGGCTGCTACCCCCTGGATGGGCATGTCCTGTGCAGAGCCTGCAGCGCCCGGCGCATCCAGGAGCTTTCGGCGAAGGTCACCACGGACTGCTGAGCCTCGGGGGCCTGGCTGGCCCAC